CGAGCGGCAAGTGACCACGTCAAAGAGTCCAGTTCGTATTTGAAAAGAAAAGAGTCTGTCAAATTAGTATATAACGCGTTATGAATACGGAATGAGGTCAAACAGGGCACTCAAACATACGCCATTACATCGAAATAAAATATTCATTTCCATTCACCACTTACGTGGCCATATTATGTTCGGCTCCAAAAAAGTTGACTTAGTTTGAACAGTTGGTAGCTGGCTCAATGGGGATAGCGAAGTCCTCGATGTTTTAAACAATGCGTTTCATCTCTTTACCGTCGAAGCCGCTTCCCTGGCTCCTTCCGTTCATATGGGGACATTTATTTTCTATGTCTGGTTTGAAATTAAATTTTGTTCCTTACATTTTGGTAAAAAAATCATCCAAATTATTATACATCACATTAAATCTAGGATCATTGTAATCATCTGTTGATATTTGTTGTCAAAAGTATTGTTGTATAATGACGCAAGCATATGATTCTTCGACATTCGTCGGAATAATGAGGCGTCATCCAGCCATGCAACGTATGAACTATGAAAGTATAATACAATTGATTTGATATTCCGTTGCGCTACATTCCGTGCCACGCGACTGCGGCCACACATAACACTTCGAAGCCTTTGAAGGAGGCTTAATGGAATGACACAACCTTTGTACGCGCCGCCCAATTCTAATGCCTATTCAGATGGCATTTTATCTTTTTGTTGCTTGATTTTCGATAGTAATAGCTTATTTTATTAGTTTACAGATGAATTTTAACAGGTTTCGATAGAAAACCATTGTAGAGTAATCTATTTTTTTTTTGCTTTTTTAAAACCATAATATTTTTAAATATATGATTGAATATTGTAAGACGTTAAAGTCTGTTGATCGAATTTAATTTAGTATGCCCCCGTAGTGGCACCTTGATAACCTTTGGAAAATTGCTATTAGTTACAAAATTTTATTGCATTGTTTTGTTAGATTACATTTTTATAAATACATATTATAACATTCTATGTTAAATTTATTTAACACTAGCGGCCGCCCGCGATTTTGTCCGCGTTACTTTAGTGTTTGAGAACCCCACAGGAACCTATGATTTTTCGGGATAAAAAGTATCCTATATCTCATTTCAGGTCATAAACTACATTATAGTAAAACAGGAAGTTTGTTCTTCGATTAATGCCTTATAATAAAGTATTGTCATTAAATTTAACTATGATAGCAATGAACTATGAAAGAAAGATGAAAATTGTTTTCGAAGTTAACAATAATAACTAAGTCACTATATGAACAGTTATCGTTGGCATATGACTTATGTGGAGGAAAAGCTGAGTAGAATGATGTAAGGCCTCATATAAATTTTACTATAGCCACATTAATGTCGCTACATGAAATTGATTTGCAAGCAGAAACATATTATGATTGTGAAAACGGGGTTTACGATTTATTTACACAATACGATAGCGGCTTTAAACATTATAAATTGTCATACGTCAGTTTGTTAGTGTTCATATGTGTTAAATTTATAAAAATCTAAAAAAAAAAGAAATAAGGTGTAGTTACTGTTCCTTGTATTATGCAGAACTCAAGGTATTTTAAACGTTTGAAATAAAGAATTCGATGCAGTGTTGCAACAAAATTTGATACAGTGTTCGATCTAGTTCCTGAATATTTTAAGTAATTTAGTGAATAAAATAAAATACGATGGCACTATTTGACGGAGGCAAATAACGTTTGCTTTCGCTAGTTAAATGATTAGGAAATTGAATCCGGTCAAAGCGAAAATGAAGTTTGGCGACACAAAGAATGTTAAGAAATCCAATCTTTTCAACAATGCATGATAACCCAGGCACTTTATACGAAGAAGTTGATGAAAATTGTTAATTAAAGTTGACACAGAAATGCTCCATGAATTCGAAATCTTCATTTATCCCGTCACGGTACGCCTCTTACGTTTAGTATTAAATGATTGACTATGTTTCAATTTCGTCTAACACGAATGCGTCGGTTGAACGAATTGGTACACGATTATGTGATTGTGATAGAAAATTTATAGGTTTCTCTGTCTGTTTAGTTCGTGATTACGCTTCGAGGAGTTGAGTCTTGCTATGAATAAAGCACGTAAGTATAGTATATAATTGCTCCTTGCCGAAATCTGGTTGAATAATATTTTTTTCACTAGTTTTGTTATCGGTGCTCCACATTTCTCTGCCACCCGGGTAGCCGCTATTGTCGAAAGCAACTTGTGCATGATCTAAAAGCGCTTCCGGACGATTAGTCGTCAACGAATGTTTGAACTTGTTGTTAACTTCACCTCCTTTCGCGTTAATAGCGTTACAATGTTTGTGAATTCTATTACGCATTGTGCACTCAAGCCCCTTTTTGTGCGTTTTGTTGTGTGAGCCTTTTATCGATTGTGTATTTGACTGATCTTGTTCCTTTTTGAAATAGAATTGATGCTACTATATCATTCATATAGGGTATTTTCGATGATTGACTATTCTTTCTTATATCTTTATAGAAAATCCTACTATTGATATTATAGTTAAATTTTTTAAATCTAATATCAGTAGTAGGGGTTTGTATATAGAATAAGAAAGAAAAGTCAGCCATATTTTTAGTATAATGGTGAACCGTTATTAGGGCATAGTTGTCATATGTAGAAATACACCTACTTGCCAATAAATGCAAAAGACATTATAATGAAGTGCTACATTATTACAAAGCCACCCACATTTATATAGCAGCGTTATTATGGGCACGTTATGCATCATAAATATTTCGGGAACATAAAATTAACACTCAAAAACATGGGCTTTCGAGGCACCGCAACGTCTACCAGGTCCGACAAAAAATATGGGTATCGCTTGCAGAACGACACCGTGAGGCTCGACTTGCCACAAAATACTTCCCCGTTTTCCAACGATATTCTCTCTTCCTTTGTATAGAATAAGGTTCAAATTTTTATGGTAGGCAACAATTTCTTGCGGTCAGGCATCTTTGTTTTCACCACCTTCAATTAGATACTGTAAGTTGTTTGTGTTACGGTTTAGTTTCGGTTGCGTAATTGGTATGAACTCCGGTTTCTCCCTGTAGCAAAGGACATACTTGTTGACATGTTGTCTAATTGATTGGTGTTTCTCAGTAGGGGTCTAGGGCCTTACATGTGGCGGCACCTTTGTGGAATTATTTGAAATTGATAAACTATAAATGCCTTCACAAGTGGAAGATGCCACTGTTATAGTTTTTCTGTTATAAATGTATGTCAGTCAATTTCAGAAAGAATTTTAAGAACGTGTGTTCCTTTTGTGATTTCTTTATTAAAAATGTTTTAAGACTTATTAAACTAACATTTAAATAATAGCATCATGCAACATCGTGATGGGTTAAGATTTATGAAATTTAAAGGGGGCTTTGATTTCCTATTTATTTAGTCTTATGATTATTCCCATTACATTATTAAAAAAATATAGAGTTTTAAGTTGAATACATAATAATATTTTTTATTTTAAATAAAACATTAAATAATACAATTTTAAAGCAATAAGCCAGAAAAAAAATAACCTTTATTTCATATAAAGCAATATAAAACTAGTAACGTTTTTTCTTCACCCTCATTTCATCTCAATAGGAGCGTAAAGGTATTGCAAAAATCAAGGGAAGGCGGCTTCTTTGACTATAGGTGGTCCCACCGCACGGTGAATGATGTGATTATAATAGCGACACTTAGATACTCACACATTATTTATTGAGTGCCAGAGTAGGTAGCACACTTGTTCTAATGAAGTTTGTTAGCAATCAGCAACGAATTTAATTACAGCCAATACTCATCTTACTAAAACATTAATTAAATTTTTGATGGCCAGCATCGTAGAATGACTCATCGATTGTGTGCGTCATAAATGAAATTTAATCTAGAATTCAGATCACAGTTAATAAACGTTATTTTGTGTAGCAAAGGCAATAGAATAAAAGTTGGTAATCGTAATGGCCTGCGCAGAAGGACTTTTGTACTACATGAAAAAAATTGTCCGCCGAGGACTTATCACGGACACAATGCACACGGTGTGCGATTATTTGTTGCTCGGACATTCTCGGACAAGAGAAGCGTACGCTATGGAATTCAAAATTTTCAGATATATTTCGGTGTGTTGTATTTAACATGAAGTTTATGAAAAAGAGAAGTCGTTTTATAAGAGAATATTGGGGTCATCCTTTACATCGGATCGAGCGTGCAGCAAGGACTAATAAAGTTAGTTGAGTGCGTTGTTGCGTCTAGTCTAATGAGTTCTGTTTTTTCAGGGACACCCCGTACTTTTCTCCACTCCGGTCTCTCTGTGCCTCAGTTGTACGGGGAATTTTTGCACGCGGTACTTTTAATTCCTCGCGTGCTTTACTTGATACAGTTGTAAGCAATCTATTTTGGCAGCCAAAAATCCGCTGAAAAAAGTCCCTCGCCTGCGCAGGCCATAAATTATAACAAGGCGACAGCGACAAAGGTCAAAACTAGTTAAGTGTTATCGTTTCTGCTTGAGCGATTCATGTTGGAAGAAATTGGATACTTTTGCTTGAGAAGAGTTGCAATGGAACGTAAAATTACGAAGTGATTGAGCGGCTACCGACTTACAACCTACTTGTAATCTGGCTATTGAAAGAACCATATCGGACCCATACACGCTGATATGTACTTTATTGTATTCTTAAAGAGTTGAAATTAGAGTAGATGCATCCGGTATCATGGCGATCACTTTGTGATATTGATGTATTGTTGGCACTATTGATACGCCAACCATTATTTCTTTCTTAAACTGACGCCGGTAGGCGTCTGAATTGTGAACAAATTTATGTTTATTCATAATAATTATTGAAACGTTGTCTTAAATTTAAAGACAGGTTTTATAATATGATATTCCAACATTTAGTATATTATGCTTAAGTATATGTACAGTTACTATTAACTTTGCTATATTATTCAGAGGTAATTTAATGCTTCTTTTTGTTTCTCGCACAGGCCAGGGTCGTATGAACCAGTTGGGTGGGGTGTTTATTAATGGACGACCCTTACCAAATCACATCAGGTTGAAGATCGTGGAAATGGCGGCCGCTGGAGTCCGGCCCTGCGTCATCTCACGACAGCTGCGGGTCTCTCACGGCTGTGTCTCCAAGATACTCAACAGATACCAGGTTTGTGTTACTAATATTTGAGCACAAGTTATGGGTATTGACTTTATAATATTTTAATTTTCTAACAAAATTGTCTTATTCCCAGGAAACCGGTTCCATCCGTCCAGGCGTAATAGGTGGATCAAAGCCGAGAGTTGCAACGCCCGAAGTAGAGAACAGGATTGAAGAGCTGAAGAGACAAAACCCAGGTATATTTTCCTGGGAAATTAGAGATAAACTTATAAAAGAAGGCATCTGTGATAAAAACACCGCACCGTCGGTCAGTTCCATTTCGAGGCTTATAAGAGGAGGCAAACGTGACGAATCAGATCCTAGAAGAAATCACAGCATTGATGGTATTCTAGGTGAGTCACGCTTACCTTGACTGTATGTTGGCTATCATTTAAAGTTTCTGATTTGAGTTATGCCTCTATTTTGTTGTATGGTAGGCAAAAGTTTAAAGTCCAGATCTCTTTTCATGAAAACTGTAGTTTTCTGAAAGTGAAACAGTATTTCTAATCAAACACTCTAGGAATAAAAGCGCGGCGTGTGTTTGCATGAAACTTTATATTGCTTTAGTTTTGTACAGAATTCACATTTACACGTACCCTTGAAACACGTACACTTCAATAATGCGGTTTACTTCATAATTTTCTAGACACAAGGTTATCTTAGTTTGGAATATTAAGATAGAATTCAACAATAATAGGAATCCTTGACAATCAGTGCAATATTTAAAAAGTTATAAAACCTTCGATGTAATGACGCGTAAATAACTTGCCGTGTCATCGTAGTCCTTAACGCTGATTCGAGACCATAATCACTTAATTTAGTTCAAAGCAGACTATTATTATAAATTTATTCCTATAATGAGACTGTCGGAACGTTTGCAAACTTCAGAAAATGGCGTATAAAGTTAATAATCCACGTAAAAGTGAAGCGGCCGGAGCGCGCGCACGCCACGGCAGCGCCCCTTGTGTCGGCTTCGAAATTGTAGGTTATAAAAATGAAATTAGTATCCAAAGGTGTTATTATCCCATCGCGTTTGACCGCGGGGCTTGCATTACGACAATCTGTCCGTACTGCACGTCTTGTGCCGTATAGCTATCCAATATAAAATGGCGCTCCTAATATGCCGGTTCAGCGACGGAGTGCGGTTTTGCCGGTGAGATTCTGCACCGCGATAAGATTATGCATATTAAGTTGTGCGCCGCTAAAGTAATATCTACACTGGAAAAGCAGTCCCCAGTACTACTCAGTATGCGTATTGAAAATTTGCGGTTCGTGCTTGCCTCGTGACGGCACAACGGTACTTCGCTCGCGACATTTCGCGGAAATATTTGCATGCGAAATTTCTTGAAAGTTAAGAGAGAGAAAATTTCGTAAAATCAAAGATCAATAAAATTTTTAGACATTTTTTTTATGAAAATGTTGGTAGTTCCTTTTTTTATAATTATGGCCACAACGGATATAATGAGCCAGTAGGTAAATGCGGTAGCCATCAACCGCTGGGTAATTTAATTCTATTTCATTATCAACTAGTTTATAGTAGGTAATATTTATTGAGGCCAAAAGAATTCATTTGAAGCTCGTACAAAGCAACGTAATGTGGTTATGTTTAATTTAATCTCAGCCGCGTGTGGTCCGAAGCGGTAGCTTGACGATAATCGACATAAAACAAAACAACATTGTGTCTAGAAAGTCAAAGCTTATTATTGCGATGGCGAAATTCATATAATGATATAAATAAGTTTCGCATCATGTTGTAATGTGTACGATTTCTAGGTTTGAAGTTGTTACATTAAAACTAGGATGTTAAAATGTACTTCTGAGTTTATTGTTGTTATAGTAATGTACTTCAATATTCATTTTATTAAAATAAATTTTGATTTTTTCTTAAAAGGTCCATCGTCCTGCGAAGATTCAGACACGGAATCGGAACCAGGCATTACGTTGAAAAGAAAACAAAGAAGATCGAGAACTACTTTCTCTGGTGACCAACTCGAGGCACTAGAACGTGCCTTTACCAGGACTCAATATCCAGATGTGTACACCAGGGAAGAACTGGCACAGAAAACAAAACTAACCGAAGCGAGGGTTCAGGTATGCATCAATACCCTTCTAAATGTAATAATGATAAATGAGTGTAATCAAACAAATTCATTGTTGTATCACCTTCACTTCCCGCCCCCGAACAAATCGTGACGTAAAAAATGATGTAATTACCCCCGTAATTAATTACAATACTTTGAAGTAAGCTACCATATGCTGTTCATGGCTACCGTTACACTACCTCGTTTTAGAGGGTTATTAACTTTTTAAACAATTGTACCTTGTCTTAGTATAACTTTAATCGACTTCCCTTCGTTGTTATTAGATACATAATAGAAAGGTCCTCCTTTAATTACATCGGGCTCTCACGTATTACCTTTGTCAATGTCAAGTAAATTAATTATTTAGATTTACTGTACTATCTTGAGGATTACGTTGCGATACCGCTCCAATGCAATTAGCTGAGTGCGCTTATACTTGACTAGACGTATTCTTGTGAGGTTAGTGTAGACGATTATTTTATTTATGACTTATTTTTTGTTTAGGTATGGTTTTCGAACCGAAGAGCACGGCTCCGAAAGCAACTGAACTCTCAACAACTTAGTGCATTCAACACGATGTCTCTACAATCCGCTTTTCCCACCGTTCACCAACAATACGAGCCGCCAACTTCTTTCAATGCGCAATGCGCTAGTTGGCAACAATCTTACTCATCAGCATTGGGGTCAAGCTCTGTACTGAACTCTGCATTGGCCCCTTCTCTACACCAATCTCCATTAACAGCACCATCTGTTTGTCAATCGGCACTAGCTGCCTCATCGTTACATCCTCCTACGTCTAGTTCATTTTCCGCTGGGAATTTGACTCCATTATCCCATTCCTCAGAGCTGCCAACTCCATTACAAGTATCAGCCGATGCTACACCTCCAAGTTCGAGTCCCACGACGACAAGTCCATCCACCAATCAAACTGGAGGACTAACCTATCAGCATCCTACTTATGCAAACGCGAGTGACTCTGTTCCTCACCCTTACGGTTATGGAGACTATTCGAAACAAGAACATGCTATGTCAGCGCATAACCACTGGACTTCAAGACAACTGAGCGGACATCCACAAAACAAACTTGCAGAAGTCAGTTCGTGGCCTGAAAACTACAGGTGAGTTTCCACATTAAATACACAATCATGCACTATTTGTATAAAGCATTGTACATCTTAATAATCGAAGTCGGAGAGCAAGTAAGTAGCTTTATGAATTATTGATGCTCTGCTACTAATATTCCGACATGAATTGGACGAATGAATACGCAATTACAATAAAGTGACCTTTGCTGCCGACGATTTAAATGACTATTTATTACGGTAGACATGACTGTTATTTTTGTAATAATAGGCTTATGTGTGTTGAGCGATTTAAATGACATCATCTACCTGTTTCTATCTATCTAATAATTATCGTGGAGCACTAGAAGTGGTAATTCGAGATGATGTATTGGCCTAGAGTATCGCAGCATCCGGCGCGGCGGTGGCTATAGGTCGTACCAGGGCTCGATTGCAAATCGGGGTAGGATCGTTTTATTTCTTTTCACCTTCCTTTATCATTAGCCGGAGCGGCCGCTAATCAATTAAGAGTGTAAGAAGTCAGCCATTATACGCCGCGCGGGTGGTTATTACCGGCCCGCTTCGTAATACTCCGATCCAATCGTGAATGCAATAGGGATGCGAATTTTATAAGGATTTTAAATCGATTTTTAATTAAATTTTTATTGACTTATTTTCTTTCTGTTACGGTATTTAGGACGCAATGCATCTTCATGTTAATAAAAAACGAATTTAAGTATTGTCGTGGATAGTCGAACGTAACTCCCGCACTGGATTTTGTCGAAAGAGAATGTGTCAGACACATTGTCGCTTTGTACGTATACGGCGACAACATTTATCTGTGTTATCTAGACAAAGCATGCCTATAGACCTCGCATCGGACCACACACAATATCTCGCCTTGCATAATGATGGACAAACTAATAATATATGGGTTAACCACGATTATATGGCGTATATTTGTTCTATTCTCTGTTATCTAGTCTCGGACGGCTGGACTCTTCCTATTTTAACGAATATTTGTCCTAGAATTGTAAACATGGATTTTTTTTTAGATTTCATTTTATTTTTTATAATATTTACATATTAATATTTAAATTACAAAAGCTTAAAACTAATTATTGTCTAAAAACTTAAAAAGAATTAACTACTAAAATAACATACAATTATTTTAATTGAGAAGAAACTTTCAATGAAAATACATGGATATGTTCTTTTCAGTCAAAAAAATTGTCTGATTCAAAGCAGTTACAAAAGGTAAGGAATACTAAGTTCCCTACACTTTATATGAGTACCTATACCCATTTGTATTTGAGTACAAGGGCGTTCATTGACGAGATGAGACTGGAATTCGAAGGATTTGAATATGATAGTGCATTTAATTGTTCTATGTTTTAAGTACTGGGTCCATTGTTGTGAATCAAACATGAGAATGACAATGATTCATTACGTGATCATATCGATATTTAAAGTCATCGTCGTCATTGATGATTCAGCCCTTTATGGGGATGCCGTCTCACTCGGTTGCCTCTGTCTTCGGGTTTTTAACTGTAATTTTAACATCCTGCTTCTCTAAAACCCAGAACTTGTTTGATAAATTTATGATTTATGTTGAATATCGTGTAACCTGTTTATTCTTTAGGTGTGTTTTAATTTACTGAAAATATTACATGTGGTTATTTATGCTTTACCATCTAAAACAATCTGGAAATAAATTGTAAAAGTCGTCGAAAACTCATATATAGGCATCTGACCAAGTATGCTACCGCGGCCCTGATGGCCGTGTCGAATGCTTTCTAGCCTTTCTTAAGCTGCAAGGCAGCGCCATTATACTTCTTATTGTAGGTAACCCACAATGTCTAATTTGCTAGTGCAGTGTATAATTGGCCAGTGCATTCGCCCGGATAGCGAAGGGTGCAGGTTCGAGTCCCGTCTGCTGCCTAGTCCGCGTGTAATTTTTTCTAGTAATATTTTCTTTAGATTTAAACATCGAGCAGTTACATGCTTAAAAAAATAAAATTATAACTATATAAGCATCTGCTTAAAACTGTGTATTGGTGAAACTGTAGAATTAAATTTTCATTTACACGAATTCACTTTTAGGGTTCCGTACATCAAAAGGAAAAAACGGAACCCTAATAGGATCACTTTGTTGTCCGTCCGTCCGTCTGTCAAGAACATTTTTCTCAGGAACGCGTGGAGGTATCAAACTGAAATTCGTATCTAATACTTAAGTTTACTGTCCCTTGGAGCTGTGAAAGAATCAAACTTCTAAGCCAAAGCAATCAAAAGATACAGCCGTTTATGCCGCAAATTTCTTCATATTTTCGAAACTCGCACGGGAATTAAAATCTACAGGGTACTTCTCGTGAACTTAGTATCTTAAAATTTGGGACGTCTTATAGTACAGATAAAGGAAAAATTGCGAAAACCGTAAGTTTTTAGTTCACACTACATCTTATAATAAAAAATATTTTTCTATAATTATTAAAATATACCTACATGTTTGTACGGAACCCTCGCTGCGCCAGTCCGACTCGCACTTGGTCGGTTTTTTAGGTCTGCTGTAATTCGCGTATTTTTTCTCGCAATATATTTATTATTCCATCTATGAGCCTTTACAAATATTTGAAGCTTCAAAAACGACATCAATTTACGTCTTTCAGTTTCTCAAATATTTGTCTAATAAAGTGTGTCTCCTTATAAATTCCGAGAGGGTATATTACGGGTATAAGCGTAACACAAACGCGGCTTTATTTCAAACAGAGGTTTATATTGTTTAAGCGTCATTTATCATCGGTATCACTATGCCGTCTTAAGCCGCTGGTTATGAAGACTTGAAGCATAAGCTTTGAATGTAAATCGTGCAATTTATAAACGAAATGTTTCGTAGTAAGAAAGCGTATCGTAGTATGGCCGTCATGAGGCATAGTCCACACAATGCATGGTTTTCAACTGGCGTTTATCTTAGATGCAATTAATGAAAGGTCGAACGTGACATTACGTTGCCGCAGCCGTGCATTAGCTATCGTCGAGACTGGCATTAAAACTTATCTTGCAGCTGTTGATTCCACTTCCTAAATACAAACTGTTCGAGAAGAGATTTCGCTTGTAAAATCAAGTGTTGATTTTGTTTCGGCACTTATAAATTCACATGTTTATATTTTTGTGATGATATAGATATGTCGATTCTGGCATGATTCGCAAAATCTAAACTTAAATTAGACAATAGTGTATCCTTGTCATTCTCTATACATAATGAGTTAAATTTAGTTTTAAGTTTAGAGAGTCATGCCGGAATCGACACCATTATTAAACACGCACGGAAATGCGTGACATATATATTTATCGTCGTTATATTTTTATATATTTATGTGTGTGAGATGCGTGCGCAGCTCTTCCCGATGAGCATGAAAGTTGGAGGGTAACTCGGCTAAGGCTGAACCGCTTCGAGCGTCTCGCGCGTCACACGCGACAATATAAACATATATATGAGTGATGCGTGCGCTGCTCCATTCCCGTATGCCTTATGCATCGCCTAATGTCAGGTTATTTAAGAAAATAAGTTTTACTTCTGATGGTCCATGCACACAATTTTTAATATCACTTTTAGTATTTTAAATAGGGTTTAAAGTTTTGCAAAATTATATCAATGCTATTCCGATGTTACGTATTCGAATAAAAATCATTGAAATATCATTGAGTGGGTAGGTATGTCAAAAGCAATATCCTATTCTGGAATTTGAAGCGTATGTACCAGTAATCCACTGATTGAATTTTCGTAGTCGTTCTGAGTGGTCTGTGAATGTGAGTATAGGTAAATAGATATAGGATTTATATAGACATGGAAAAATTAGAGCGCCACAATTTCGAGAGGATTTTTAATATTCATTCCATTAAGCTCTGAATATGTTTTTCGTAGGTAGTTCATCACTATTTTTGAGTAAACGGTTTGTTGTTTGTATATTTAAACTTCATTGTCGAACGTATCAATGTATAAAATATCGTTATTGGAAAAAGCACTAGGTTTTTAGGGTTTCGTACCTCAAAAGGAAAAAACGGAACCCTTATAGGAATCACTTTGTTGTCCGTCCGTCTGTCTGTCCGTCTGTCAAGACCATTTTTCTTAGGAACGCGTGGAGGTATAAACCGAAATTCATACCTAATACTAAGATCTACTGTCCTTTGGCGCTGTGAAAAATTAAACTTCTAAGCCAAAGCATTCAAAAGCTACAGCCGTTTATGCCGCAAATTTCCGCAAATTTTCGAAACTCGCACGGGAATCAAAACGTACAGGGTACTTCCCCGGAACTTAGAATCTTAAATTTGGTACGAAGTAACGTCTAATAGTACAGATCAAGGAAAAACTGTGAAAACCGTATATTTTTAGTTACATCATATAATAAAAAATATAGAGAAAATATTTTAGAAAAATTAAGTTTGTACGAAACCCTCGGTGCGCGAGTCCGACTCGCACTTGGCCGGTTTTTTTTAAAGTGTTCACTCTGAAATGTATTATTTTTTTCGATGTACTGTCTTCAGTAATAATTAGATATTTATCAGAGTATAATCTCAATTTCATGCAGATGCCTCTAATTTGATACAACGTTGATGCGGTTAAATGCACGCTATTTCCTTTCTTTTAATTTTAACTGTATTAAAATACCGAATTTGTGGAGGCCAAGTTGCTGTTTGTAATTTTTATTCAAGATTTAGAACGTATATTACATTTTTTTTAAATATATAGTACCCGGATCACAAGCCTTAGGCTCTGTAGTCTTTGTTCTCCTTACTAAGAAGTGATGGATATTATATAACACATAATATATTATTAAGGACCATTCATAGATTTCCTAGTAGTTTCTTTCTTGCAATCATTAAATGAAAAAACAACACATAAGCAGGTACCTTTTACAACAAATTTACATTTATGGATTACTAAAGCTGTTATTTCAGATTGATTTAGTTGAAATAAACTAATTAAAAGATATGAACATTACTAATACAACTGCCATAAAAATGTGTTTTTTATTAGTGCCAGTGAAAAGACTACAATTATGAAAATTACTATTTATTTGGGAGTAGTTGACCTTACTGTAAGCAATTAAGAGCAGATTCAATTACTCCATATGTAATGTTTTATTACCTTTTCCAGTCACGATTCGCCTTCTGTAATACTTTCGTGGCGGTGATATTAATACTTACTCGAACACGTTATTGTAAAATTGAAGGCTTACATCCTTTTGATTTATTGTGAAATGTTAAAATCAAGTTTGTTCCTACGAATTTAATGATAGAGATAATTTCAAAATCTCTACTGAAATGTCCATCGCAGATTTTTAGATTTATTTGGATTTTATGCATTATATTGTTATAGAAAATTCAGGGACAGCATCAACTTTGATCAAACTTAATAAACAACGGCATCTCTGAGTGCGATCGCAAATAATACTTTTGTCGTGTTGCATACTGTGCATAGGAATTAAATTAAAGTATAGTTGTTCAGACGTAACGTGAACGTTCCTCGAGAGGCTAAAACTAAGTAGCAATTATAATGTAGCATTACAGCCTCCAGCCTATTATTACAACCTTTATAATATTATAGGCGATTGCCTCTCCACTTTTTGGCTTCTTATAATCGATACTGTGCCGATTACCAAAGATTTATTCAGCTGCTTTGCAATGGCTCCCACGCTTTATATTGTGACTACTAATTCATTACTTAATATATTACACGTATTGCGTATTCATTCTGTACTTTGAATTTAATTTATGTAAGTTGAATATAATTCAGTAGGTCTACATTACTGAATGACTAGCAACATTTTAAATTTGAGAAATTCGTAAAACTAAACATTTCTATAAAATTTCCATAACATTTAATGTTGATCGAAGTCATTATTATTACCATTTTGCTTCTGGATTTTATGGTGGCATAAGATTTATTATTATTAGGTATTACGTCAGCTATCCTTTTAAGCAATGTTAAATTTAAACAAAGCTATCAGCATAATTTGCTAGTTATTGCACTAAGCACTCCTGCCTCCTGATCCAATTAATGCTCCTGGAATACTTATTTATGTGATGACTAAAATTTGTTATCGAATCACGGGTTTTTATATATTATTTACTACAAGTTCTTCTTAGTTCAGTACAAAGTAATTGTTGTTACGTGTCTAGAATTTCATACAATCATATCAGTCATACGATGTCTGAATGAACTGCTAAGCATAGGCCAGAATTTATTTACCTAAAAATTGAAAAAAAAATTTTTTTCATTGTTACAGTTCATTCTTCGGCACGAACGCTTCACATTATACGTCGCACGCGCATTCACCGACGGAGGCCAAATCTGGCTACCCTTACTTAGGACAACTTGGCGGTATGGACATGGGAAGAGTTCATTAGATTACGAAAATAACGTAGACTTAACTCATAACAATGAAAAGGCAATAAATTCAAATAACTTTATATAATAATGTATGTATGTACATACAGAAATTAACGAACTACCTTAAAAACACACATATCTCCCGTGCCTTGCAATTCATTTTAGACATATTAATGAACTAAGTGTATTCATATTTTATATAGTTCAATATGTTATATTTGTATATAATTGTAATGTAAGCGTCCCTCAAAAGACTAAATAAGTCTCGTTTGTATTATGTAGAGCTATCTGATTTTAGAGACTAAATTGAATATATTAATAATGTTGTTAGTTCCTGAATTCTAGTAATAATACTAAATTTGTTATAATTTAATTAATAAAATAAGTGCCTATTGTATGAATTGTAATGTATGTAAGTAGCCTTTGATAAGAAATAATGAAACAATTTATAATTAATTTGCCAATAAAATTGTATTGGGTTTCACTTTTTGGAAATACCCAGACGTGTTAAACAAAACCCATTGACATTGTAAATGTTTATATTATAACAGGTGTCACACGAAATTTTATTAACGAAATGTACAGTGACAAAGTATTTTTTCTGTATAGAGATTCTTTATGATATTCTTATATCAATTCTGCCACGATGCCTTATAAAAAAATGTGATTTCAGTAAATGTATTTATTTTATAGGTACTTTAATACCTAAATATAATAGACTAGATTGTAAGCACCATTGTAATATAGCTGACTACATCAACATTAAATGAATCTAAACACTTGAAAATTTGTTTCTATTTTCTCGATCCGTTTTAACTCTATATCTTTTAGTTTCCGCTTTTCATAAAGTGAAATCCCTCCTTTGTCTGTTTTGCAGCTGTACCTACATATTCCTTTTATGTGAGGTGCTTTCAATAACGTTCTTTTTAAATTTTATTTAAGCCTTTAAACTGCTTCGACTTTTCATAGGTGCAATAAAAAAATGTGAGTCTGGTTCGTACACGAGGATTCCGCAACATTAAATAAAGTTAATAAAAGATTTTCAGCACAGTCATGGCAATCGCATTCGTTTCATGTACTTACGGACACTCCTTTCATATGTTATTTTTATCATTTATTGCTAAAGTGGCAAAAGAAACACATTCTGTGAAACTATCAAGTATCTTTCTTAAAGTTGATCAGGTACAGATCAAAAACAGACGGAAGAACGGGCAGGCTTAATAGAGTTCTTTATCACCTCTTAGGGTGCGGCCAGAGTGCACTCAGATTCAGACTCAGATTCAGATTTCGAAAACAAGCGCGAGAAATAAACAGTGTAGTCTAAGCAGGTTGCTTGCTTTTTCTCGCGCTTTGTTTTCTGAGTCTGAATCTGAATCTGAATCAGGAGTGCAATCTGGCCGTACCCTTCGACTACACTGTTTATTTCTCGCGCTTGTTTTCAGAATCTGAATCTGACTCTGAATCTGAGTGCACTCTGGCCGCACCCATACGCATGAAACCTGAAAACTAGAAGTGAACTTAAATATGACGTTAGCAGTGTTTTTTATAATATGAGAATATTATTTTTTTACATAAAGTTTAATAGTAACGCAATTATGAAAAAAAACACTGATAACCATTATTTGGCGCATGGTTGCTTTTTTTAGGCATACGGTGTCTGTGCGCGCTGCTCGAGCGCATTTTCATTTGTGCTACTCACTGGCTACGAAGCCTTAAACAAAGGCTGCCATGAAAAAAATGACAGTCAACTTATTAATCGCTATCTTCTTCAGTTCCTTACAGATAATCATCTGGCAGATTCAACATAAAGTTGTATCTATTTATTTGCCAATTATTTTTCAAGCTGAAAGGATGTTTCTTTCAAGGCAAACCGTCGTATTTATAAACAAGTCAAAGTCATTATTTCTTCTTAAGTCATTAACGTAGGTAAAAACTATTATATTTTTAGTATAAATATTTAACTGTTAGATGTTTAAATATAAAGAAAATTTTACTAGAAAAACTTCCACTCCGTCCAGGTTTCTAGGTCCATGTCCGGGTCTAGGTCCGCTTGGATAGGATTCGAATCGCATAAAAAACTTGGACCGAGTGGATTTTTTTCTAGTAAAATTTTTAAAGTAAGAACTGTGAAAATTGAGAATTCTAAACTCATTGATATGTAACCATTTGTTTTATTGAAGAATTCTGTTGAAATAATTGTACTTAGCAACAAAGTAAGTACTTTGCAACAATTAATAACTAACTTGTTTATAAACACGAGTGTTAACCTTCCAGAATCCTCTGGGGGCTTAGGGCAACTATGTAAATTTCATCAAGTTCCTGAAGTAGTATTGATTTATTTGTGCAAAATAAGGTAACGGCATTTTATTTTCAGGATAGTTTAGATGCCATTATTTAAGGTGACACCTATATTCGTAAAAATTTTAATAAAATCAGAATTACACTTGGCATTTCTAATGATAACAAAAGTTCCATAAGTAAACTTAATGATTCTGATATTTTGTACCCGGGAAAGGATACTTAAGAGTGGAATTATAATAAAATAAAATGAATTACGTGATTAAATAGAAATGACATGATATAGTACATTACTGCAGTGGCCAGCAGTAGAGACATTAATGTGGGTCGAGGCGAAGCACACATACGTAAGCCCATCAATGCCTAGCTGTGGCCAAGGTTTGTATGGTACTTTGCTCAAATAATGCGCGGAAATTATACTAAGTACTACCTAGGCAGAACATTTGAAATTCAGGAAAATCAATGACGTACAAAGTACACCAATATTTTTCCCGTATTCATTTGTTTTTTTTTCCATTAACAGTACCCCTAGGACGAACCATTATCGAATTCGAATAGTTTGCAAACCGAAATGTCAATGTCAATTTTTGTATGGAAACTGGAACAGCAGCTGCACAAAGTACGTAACGAGAACTAAAAATCTGTACACATTTGACAATGACATTTCGGACTCGGAAACGATACGAATTCGATATTGGTTCGTGCTAGGGGTACTGATTTCTAATTCGAAATCCAGTTCGAAAATTAAATAAAACCTTTGATAAGTTCCACCTTCGTTCCATTTTTTAATTACACGACATTATATGAGTTTACTTAGTAATTTATTTGGGCACTAAACACGACATATATGGAAATTCATACAACTTTTGCCGGCCGCTGCTCGCACATATTCACCCAGTACAGCAATTTCGATTTGTCTCGAAGAAGGTTGTCAAAATAATGCTCAAGTTTCCATGTATGTTTGAGAAAATAATTTTACTTTATGGTATGTGATATGTAACACCCCTTTTTGAGTTTGATGTCCCAGACAACGTTTTACAGCAGTAAATAATAATAATAATGTTAGTTTTACATTTCGTTATATGGCAATCGTTTGTTATCAAATCTAGCATCAGGTACATTCGTGCCAAATGCACACATTTCTAGACAGTTGTCAGGCTAGCGCCGCTGGTCGGCTTCATTAATGTGTTTATCTGTATTCATACGACGTGTAAAAGCTTGGAAGCACTCTTGTTAATGATATTTGTTATGTGTATTGTCAGTTTTAAAAATATTTAATTTTACCTATGTATTTTTGGAAACTTTCTACAAAAAATTAAGATATAACAAACAAACATTTAATTTACAACTCATACACTTTAAAACGAATAATAAGTTTGGATTCCACCAAGTTTTGTTTCTGTTCATTGAATGACATAATGGTATTTGAGTGATATGAACAAAACACGGCGTTACTAGTCTAAGCTTATCCCTCGTTTATTAATAAGGTGGTGAAGTATACGTACACCATAGAAAATGACGGTTGTGTGAAATATGTTTGTTTATTATGAAAAGACTGTATTTCATATCATCGAGGTTTCAAACAAACAAGCAGTCCGGCTGATGGTAGCGGGCATTGCTGGTCCTGTATAAAGCTTTCACACCCTCCTGTAGTTCCTCTGAAAAAACGGTGGTCTAAAATTCATTCCGCAATAATATATTGCTCGGCTTAAAGTTTGTCCGAAGAAAGGTATCAAGACATTTCCATTAATGAAAAAAATATTTAAAATGTGAAAATGACTTCCTACGGATGGCGTTGGCGAAAAGCTGTTGTATACGTTATGCCGTAAAAAAATCTTAGATCTATGGATGATGTTAGGCTCAATTTCTAAATCCAGCAGTTTGATATTAAAATAAAGATGATAAAGGAGACCCGGCACTTTGAATTGAATTTGGTCTCAAAATAAAGCCAAAATTATTTGCTACATAAAACTACTTTTGCCTTATTTTTAGTGAATCGTGGAAAGAAGTTATATCATGATTAATATTTTTTGATATATCTGAATTTTAGAGAATTTTACTTCAAAATATTACTCAAGTGACTGTAAAAACCATGATTCATTTGCTTTTTCTAAATAAAAAACCAAATATCAATTTGACAATCCTAAAATAAAAACAAAAAAATCATTCGCATTTCGCATCCGCTCCCGCGTATTGTGATTGTCAATGTTCTCTGCTGTGATTGCCTTTTAATCCGTTATTTCTCTTGACGACCCGGCTACATATAGAGGTTATATTGACAAACCTACGTATTTGACATTGACAGCTAGCTGCTGATGACAAATATTGCCAGACTACGTTACCCAATTATGAAACACAGTCCTTTCTTCGATAAAATAATTAAAGGTGTACCAATACACATGCAAAGAGAGGCAGAATATCTTTTAAGACTTAGAGGCTTAATATCGCGTGCGAACTTGGGGCTTACGTCACTGAACCGTGTCATAAATAAATAAAAATAGACAAGGAATTGGTAAGTACGCAATACAATGAGATGTATCTATGTTTTAACGTTAACTTAGATGTTTGATTATTTAAAGCATCAAGGGACCGTAGACCTTAGTGATTGGTTTAAATTTCAACTCGCTACTCGCGCGTACGCGTTCCCGACACAAAGAGTCTTGACAGACAAACAGACGAATGGACAGACGGATCGATGGACAATAAAGTGATCCTATTAGGGTTCCGTTTTTTTCTTTTGAGGTAAGGAACCCTAGGCCCCTCCCTCCCTTCTTCAATCCTTTAAAAGAGGCGGAAAAAGCAACTTGCAGGCCGGCAAGGTGAGGATGGCTGGTGTGGTAGGTAAAACTGCTATACCAGCTATCTTCGCGACTGGACTGGGGCTCCACCATCACTTAACATCAGGTGGGGTGGAGTCATTTGTTGGACCTAGCTATAAAAAAAAGAAGAAAAATCGGCTCTAGTCCAAAGGTGGCATTAGTACTCCGTGTGGATGTAAAACTTGTGTGTACGCATTATTAAGTTCACCGTGGTCTTTAAACGCCAGACTAGCTTTTAAGCTCTTCTAAAGGTCTGGAAATGCATTCAGTTCTGCATGAAGCGTTGTCATTCACCAATGACACCGCATCTGTTCATAAAATAATAATAAAATATTATTAAAAGAACACTAAGTACTACAAAATATTGAGCTGTATCCCCAGATATTTTTTTATAAATATAATTATATACAGCTGAAAACGACATTTTCTGTATCGTGAACTTCCTAATTTTGCATCGTGCTGTACGATATTAAAAAGTGGAGCCCTTCAATTCTACTCTCCTGCAGAAACATAACACCACCAAAAAGATTTTCAGTAGATGGTAGATTTATAAGAATTTTGTAGAACAGAGTACAGTTTCATTTTATAGTAAATAGTCTTGGTTTGTAGTTCTCGAATAGGTGAACGCAGTGAAACAACAAATTATGTATCCTACACGAAAAAGAGTATTGTAACTTAACACAAAAACGTACGGGCCAAGGGTTAGTAGATTTTACACAATTAATTAAAAAAAAGGCCAAG